AAGATTCGATACACCGTTTGTGTGAGAAGGAACCTTACAAAATCTTTCATGAGAACTGTTACTGGTAAGCACACCTGGTGTGATTGAACCATTGAAGGTGTGATTGAACCACCACAATGAAGCACTAGAAGTGCACAGGAAGATTGCCCATATGCTGAGATCAAATTGTTTCATTGAGAAGATGATGTCTGATAAGAAGAGAGAAGACCTTTTCTCTGTGGAAGAAAGCAAAGCTTTCCTTCAAGCTGCCCAGCAAATGTGCCACTTGAATTACCAGCTCTACCAGCTCTTTGCAGATGATGACAGCATCAAAGGACCAATATTCCAGGTCACTGCCAAATCCCACTACCTGATGCATTGTGCAGAATATGTGCACACTTGCAACCCCAAGCTGACATGGATGCACCAGAGGCACCTCTATGTACCAATGTGGCAGCAAAGCTTTGCAGCATTGGTGTGTAGCATTTGCCAAGCTTGTGGGCACATGAGAAAAGGAATTATGCTCAGCTAGGATTGTTTGGACATCGAGGATTGTTTGGACATCATGGACATCTAGTGTGCGCAAAAGAAAAGTCTTCCATGCCATATGAGATTTTTGGGAAGGAAATGAATGAGTTTTGCCTTATTTTCAACTATAATTCCATGGGCAATTTTATAGTTAACTCAAAAATTAGAGAAAAAATTAGAGTAGAATAGTCAATATACAATTTGAAAAATTATCTCTTTATACAAAAAGCATTTTTAACTAATAGTTAAAAAGTTAGAGTTAACTATGGAATTGACTATTAGGCAGGAAATTGTCTAACCCGATCTATAGGGCCATGTTCGTCGCCTCCGGCTTCTTCAGGTTGACCTTCGTGATCACGATCGAATCTCGGGTCTTCCCCGTCATATTCCTCTTCAGGAGAATACCTGTCATCACCGTGTTCCTCTGGTTCTCCTTCGACGCCTGCAACAGCTGGATTGATATCAGATTCACCATCCTGACCTCTCTGGTTATCTTTCTTCTTTCTCCTCCGTCTCCGTGGTTTCTTGGGCGGAAGTTCCTCTTGTTGTGTCTCCTGACCTGTTGTGACCTCGTCTTCATGCCCCGCACCTGACAGTATGCGATGAAGTATCGTAGCCAAGCCGTCTGGTCTTGGTAAACATCTCCCGTCATCATCATTCACCTTGATGTAGGGTATGTTGTCATGCACCGATAGCGGAATCTTGTTCGCGTTCTGGTCGATGAGGTATGGCAATTGATTTGCCGGCCATATGAATGAGTACCCTTGTTCCATGCACCGTTTCCCGATGGAAAAGACTGATGGTGTGCTTTCCAACACGTGTGCCTCGGACCTCATGGGTAGTTCGTCCACATTGATGTCCACCATCTCTGATGTACTAGTTACACCATTCGCTGTCATGAAGCTCACGGATTTGGGTCCTTCCTTGGTGGTAAGGCCCATGGCATTGACTTTCTCTCTTGAGATCAAATCGTGTCCACATCCCGTGTCCATGATGAAGCGTATTGGTGGTCCATCATACCTCTCCACAGCCATGAACATCGTGGTTCCTGGTATCGTGTAGTCGACAAAATCCTTCCTTACTACCTCTCTGGTGTTGAAATCAGACAGGTCGACGTTCACCTCGATTCCTTCATCCTGAGTGATTTGTATCCATGCCTTGGCAATGTGTTCAGCATAGAATCGCTCCATCATCTTACCTTTGGCATGTGCTACTCGTGCAGCTATGTTGCTCACTCTGAGGGCTCTCGACGACGAAATGAGCTCGGTGTCCACCTTCTGCACCTCATTCTTCTTCCTCTTGGAGGGACGGTTGTTTAGTTCGTTACCAGGATCGCAGGTGAACGTGGTCACATTCGCCTGGTCATCGAATCTGACTTTAAAGCGAAGCGCCAGCTTACCTTGTTGTACGTTGGGAAGTGCGGGTTGTACGTCCTCGTCGTCACTCTCGATGTCTCCGCAAAGCATGAAGGCTGGCGCAGCCGGTTTGGGCTTGGCTTTGCCTCTAGCCTCTTGTTTTGTAGCAGGAGCAGCGTGATGCTGACGTTGACATTTGTCCCCGAACTTGCACGATCCTTTCTGCCAATTCCAACAGACCTGATCCTTCATTGGCTTAGGGCTACTGCTCCTGCCACCAGGACTCTTTGATCTGTCACCCTTGAGGCTTTCTGGTTTCTTAGCAGAACTCTTGTGCTTCTCTTGGTGACTAGACTTGCATTTGTCTCCTCTAGAACATCCGTTTTTCCCATGGAAGTGGAAAGCGCATCCTATCTTGGACGTATCTGCTGGAGTCGCTGACCTGCCACGATCCCCTTTTGGGCTCTTCGTGGCTGATCTTCCACGATCCTGCTTCTTGTCCTTCTTGTTGTGGTCCTTCGGATTAGCCTGAGGAAGTACTGGAGCGGCGTCATGTTTCGGTGGATCGGTCTTGGTATTCTTGGGTTTCGCTTTAGGTTCCTTCTTCTCCGCCGCTGGTGTGGCTTTCACGATGTTCCCAAAAGCTTTCTCCCTTTCTCTCTTGTTTGTGGTCTCAATTGATTTCCGTATCCACTTCGTCATGATCTCTCGTAACTTCTGGTAGGTCTTATCCGGATCCTTATCCAACATGTTGTCGTACACAGACAAGTCTAACGCCATAACTTTGGAATCCTTAATCTTATCCCAAAGCAGGTTGCGAAGTGCTTTGTCAGGAAGCATGTCATCCGCATCCATACCTGATATGATCTCATCCCACTGTCCAAGGAATCTGGATAGTTGATTATCCCCAGGGAACTTTAGATCGAATAAGTGCTTGGATGCATACATCACATCAACGTTGTCGGCACTCCGGAAACTATCGACGATCAACGCTAACATTTCTCGTCCCTTGACCATTCCAGGAGTTGTGCCTCTCGCACGTCTCTGCATCATCTACCTCACCTTCAGTTGTACGTCATGAGATCTCTCACCTGCTGCGTGGATGATCGTATGTAGGGTGATACCTAGCTTGGCGTCTATGCTAGCGAATCTTGCTTCGCCTGATGTCTCGAGTAGAAATGGGTCATATGGTGATCTGAAGGCATCCGAGGGCCATTGGATCCAGTCTTCTTGTTTCTCGTCGCCCGATGCCGTCACGACTGCCGCTACAACCTGGGATTTCCAAACCTCCAGGTCGTGTATCTTGGGCCATGCAGGGATGTTGATCTTCTCGTGTTCCTTCCGAGATATCTTGGAGCCACCTGAGCTAGAGGATGAAGCGGCACCATGTTCGGTTGCGGCTGCATTCTCTGCACTTGTGCGCTCCTCTTCGTACCTCTTCCGGTACTTATTCCTCTCACCTCTGAGCCGTGATGCATGCGCTTCGAATTCCATCATGTCCTGTTGGTTCTGCATCATACCTTCGTAGTACTCAATTGCCTCTTTCTCCTCGGACCTTAATAACTTTTCAGTACGTTCAAGTTCCGCTCTAAGCTTGGTCATCATCTCATTCTCCACACTGGGTTCTGATCCCATGTCTGGTGGTTTCAGCTTCAGTGCGACCTTCAATTGTGCTTCACTTGCGCTTGATTCGATCAATTCTTCCTGAAGACGTTTCAGCATCCTCTCTTTACGTAGAATGTCCTCTTCCAACATGTTCACCTTGGCTTCGGCCTTCTTGAGTTCGGCGCTAGATGGTTGAAACGGTCGATCGGATCCTTGAATCCTCGTCTGAGTCAACTCCTCGTTCGCCTTCTTCAATTGCTCTCTGATGCTCAAGATGAACTTATCCTGAGTATTAGATCGGTTGTTGAGCTCCTCATTCTCTTCTGATAACCATCTGATCTTGTTTGCATACATTGCTTCCCTCATCTTCATTTCCTCAGCATATTCGTGTTTGTTTCTGGCACTCTGCCTTTGTAGTCCAACCAACTCCTGTCTACACAGATCCTTGACGTTCTCAGCATCTGCGATTGTAGTCATGACCTCGGTTACGGCTCGATCTCTTTCCGCCGATATAGCCTGGATCTCTTCCGTGCCGATGTTCACAACTTGACTAACCATCTCTGCGCTGTTGCGATCAGCGTACTCCCCTAACTGGGTGAGACGATCCCGCATTGCCACACGATCAGTGTCCATCTGGTATTGCAGATCGTGTGCTGCTGAGAGCAAACAGTCTCTGGATTCTGTAAGTTGGGAGATTCTTCGTTGATTTCCATATCCTTCGACGTAACATTCTTCGAGGTGTGCCATCACTACTTCGTGGACTTCGGTCTCGTGTTGTATAATCTGGTTCTGTCTCTGCTCACATTCGACCATCCATGCGTTTTGGTGGTTCAACATATGCACTTCGGCAAGTAGTTGCGCACACTTCGCATTCAGGTCTCCATCGGCCCGTGCTAGTTGTAGGTTGTCAGTGCTTGTCCTTGCTCCATCTCCAGCTTCGCTGTCCGACGGCACTGGTACAGCTGACCCATCCTCCAATGCTAACACTCTCACAGCTCCGGTGTCAGTCCTCCTCCTTGTCTCCCTAGGGCTACGGCCTGATCTCGGTGTCCCCCCCGGTGGTGTCGAGTGCGCTGACGGGGAACGACTTCGTGCTCTACCTGTCGCATCTTCTCTCACCGCTGTCAGAGTCTCCGCTTCGATCGTACCTGGACTAGAGTTGTGGGATGCACTCATCCGATCTGCGGCCGCAGCAGCTGCTCCAAAAGATGCAGTGCTGGCGTCGGATTGGTCCATCTTCAGTGACTGAGGGTAACTGATCTATCCGATGCGTGTGCGTTTAGATGGTGTTGTGTAAGGCCGCAGCTCGTACCCAGCTCAAAGGAGTCTGGATACGGCTGATAACCTGCGAACGGATGGAAAGGTGTGCCCTGGCCCCGTTCTAGCTCTTAGGTCAACATGAAGCTCGCGCGCTAAAGCTCCTTTTTACCTGGTTGGGCACTTGAGCCAAAATGTATATGGCATGTACCTGTATAGCGACTATACTGGGACCCCATCCCTATTGACAAAAGATCCTTGACGTATCCAGGCGTCTTGTTGTAAGCCAACAAGAGCTTCTTCTGAATCTCCTTGGCGTTGTCGGTGGCCGTCTTCATGGCGTTCATGCGGCTGGAGAGTTCGGAGGCCTGGGCATCATAGAGCAAGGACAAGAGCTGAGAATTCAGGTAGAGCGGCAGCATGGAATTCAAGAGAATCCTTGGATCGGCTTGAGGCACCTGAGAACAATAAGACATATTTAGATATATTTAGACTATATGCATGTATATATATATACATTAATTATTATTGGTATTGTTATTGTTATAAACTCTATTTTACTATCAATAATTCTTCTGATCTTCCCCCAACTTTGGCGGCGAATTCACCCGGTGGCAGAATTCCAAGGTGGGCAAGAAAACAAAAGACAGAAATCGATCATGCCATAATCGATCGCCAAGTCTCTGTGGTGGCTGATCAAAAATCACATCTGCTTCAATCTCCTTGGCCTTGGCTGCCTTCACCTTTTCCTTCTCCACCTTCAGCTTTCCATCCTCCGTGGTCAGCTTGAAGGTCTCATCCTCCGGATCTTCCATTCCTTGGCTTAATTCAGGGACCTCGCCCCCCCCCAACAAAAACATCCATCAGTCTAATAGAATTGGATCTACTGGATTGAATATGCTGTGTAAAAATCAGAGAATCCTCCACCTGTTCTTATTTCATCCGCTTTGTCACCTGTTCTTTCGCCCAAAACGAAAAAACGCCGGGCGTCCGGTGGCCGACAGGGGCAACAAGGTGCGGATCGCAGGCTCATTGGAGATCAAGTTGATGAAGCGTGAGTAGCAGATCTCAATCTTGTCCACCTGGTCTTCAACAGCGAACGCGGAAACGCACGCGAAAGGCGGCAGCAGGTTTTCGTGTCGGGAAAGAGCAGGAATCAAGTAAATGTATACAGTACTTTTAGTGAATTTTGGTGCCTGTTTCCCCTCGCCGGTGCGGTGGAAATCGCTGTGGGGCGGTGTTCATCGAATTCAAGGCGAAGTTCGACGCTCCGTTTGGGCCCGTGCAGCGGCGCTCCGCTGCGACCGCGCCATCGCCGGTTCGGGTCCAAAAGAACCGGGTTTTCGGCTTCGGTGGCCCGGACGGCTTTTTTGGCGGTCCAGGTGGCGACTCAGAATCGAAACGAAGCGAAGCTCGCGAACCTGACGTCCCGCCTCACCAGCCAAGAAGTAGTTCTCAATGGTCTCGGCGATGGCTGTGGACTCTTTGGCCGTGATGGTGTCGGGCATGGGCCAGAACTCCTTCGATTCGAGACCCGGTAGACCGAAACGGTCCAAAAGAGGCGAGGCGACCAGTTGGGCTGTTGGGCCTTCCGATGTTCAACACATGCAACGTCCAAAGCCCGGGGGACGTTTCAATTATGAGGTATGTTGTATTTACAGTACAGGGAGTCGCGTGGTCCTGCATTTTCCGTAAAAATCTAGGAACCAAATGAATAGTGCGAGCGCTTCTTCGAGGAAGCTCCCCCTGCCGCCTTTAGTGCGGGAGGAGCTTCCTTGAAGAAGCATGAGCTATCCTGTGTCCAATTACTAGTAGCTACTTAAGCTACTAGCTACCTAGCTACTGGCTAGCTACCTGCTAACCTACCTCTAGCGGCCTACCTTCCTGGGTCTTCCTCGGTTTACTCGTGTCCCGTCTCGGTCTCCTCGGTGTAGTTGAACTTCTCGACGTTCAGTCGAGTCCTCAAGCCACTGACACCCTTCTTTCCCACGATGAAGAGCTTCGGCACGATGCCCTGCTCGTTCAAATCGCCCACACGAGCCTTGAGCTTCTTCATGACAAAGGCGTTGTAGGCACCACACAAGCCACGCTGGGCGGTGATCACCAGGATTCCAACGTTGTTCACCTTGTCCGGCACTCGAAGCATGGGCAAATCGGCCTCCAAGCCGCTGCCCTTCAACTTCTTCACCAAACCCTTGATCATCGAGAGCAACTCATCACCTTGGATGTGCAACGAACAACAATGTCTTCTCCCAAACAAGAATTCCTAGAATAAAACTAGACGACGAGTGGCCCGAAAGCATTTTTCATCAGGTAGGAAGTCAGACTGCGAGTTATCCGGTAAGTGTGCAGTGAGAAGTGTGAAGTGTGAAGTGTGCAGCAAGCTGGCTTCCACTGCCTGTTGTCAAAGGCCCGTGTTAGTTGTACTACCAAGTCGCCAGTTCTCATCTTCCAGCTCCCCAGCTACTCCGCGCACTACAGTTATACTACACCGTCGCCAGTTCGCAGCTACTACCCACTCGCCAGTTCTCATCTTCCCATTCCCCAGCTACTCTGCGTACCAAAGTTGTACTACCAAGTCGCCAGTTCTCATCTTCCCAGTCCCCAGCTACTCTGCGTACTAAATTTGTACTACCAAGTCGCCAGTTCTCATCTTCCAGCTCCCCACCTACTCCGCATACTAAGGTTGTACTACAAAGTCGCCAGTTCTCAGCTACTACCCACTCACCAGTTCTCATCTTCCCACTCCCCAGCTACTCTGCGTACTAAAGTTGTACTACCACGTCGCCACTTCTCATCTTCCAGCTCCTCCGCTACTCCGCGCACTACTTAAGTTGTACTACAAAGTCGCCAGTTCTCCCAAGTCGCCAGTTCTCATCTGCAGTCCCCAGCTACTCTGCGTACTAAATTTGCACTACTCCGCATACTAAGGTTGTACTACAAAGTCGCCAGTTCTCAGCTACTACCCACTCACCAGTTCTCATCTTCCCACTCCCCAGCTACTCTGCGTACTAAAGTTGTACTACCAAGTCGCCACTTCTCAGCTTCCAGCTCCACAGATTACTCGGCATACTAAAGTTGCACTACGCAGTCGCCGGTTCTCAGCTTCCAGCTCCACAGATTGCTCCGCGTACTAAAGTTGTACTACACAGTCGCCAGTGCTCATCTCCCAGCTCCCCAGATACTCCACGCCCTCAAGTTGTACTACCCACTCGCCAGTTCTCATCTTCCCGCTCCCCAGCTACTCCGCGTATTACTCTCGCACCACCACGTCGCCAGTTCTCAGCTTCCAGCTCCCCAGCTACTCTGCGTACTAGAGTTGCGTGCCAAATCGCACTCTCGCCTGCATTTCGCGTACTCGACACGCACGATCTCCGCAGAGGGTTGCGCGGGCAGCCGGCAAATCGCACTCTCGCCTGCATTTCGCGCACTCGACACGCACGATCTCCGCAGAGGGTTGCGCGGGCACCCGGCACAACGCACTCTCGCCTGCATTTCGCGCACTCGACACGCACGATCTCCGCAGAGGGTTGCGCGCGCAGCCGGCGAATCGCACTCTCGCCTGCATTTCGCGCACTCGACACGCACGATCTCCGCAGAGGGTTGCACTTTCGGTTGACGCTGTTCGTCCCACCCTCCGCCTTTAAGAGAGAATTTATAAAGTGGGGAAATGTTTTTTCATTAGGACATCTCCCGTGCTAGTTCACTTGCCTACTCATTGCATGCTTGCATACTCATTGCATGCATACTCATACCCGTGCTTACACTTGCATACTTCCACTTGCATACTTTGACAGCTTTCGCTCTTCCACTTACACAGGGCTACGTATAGCGTTCATGTTATTTATCCTGCCAGTGTGGTGAAAGTGTCAATGTCTAGGTGTGTCTGAGTGTAAGTGTCGAAGTGTCAGTGTTCAAAGGATTTTCCGGAAGAACCCTTCGCAATGCTTTCGGGAAAAACACACTGCTCTACTACTTTACCCTACAAGTAGTCTATAAATATGCCTAGTCTTTGGTTATAAAGAGATGTAAAGAGGATGCTCCCTTTCACGTCCGTCTTCACACCATTCCAACGTACGTCTTCGTCCGACCCACTCACTGACGATTCACCGACCTCGGTGTCCGTTCTGCCCCAAACACTGCCATGGGACTGACATATTCACCTACATTGGGGTGGTTGGGGGAATTTTACCTACCTTCAAATGGTTGAAAAGGGGTGAATGTCTGGTGCATCTATGTTTTCACGGCTCCTGATACTAAGGCTCCCAAATGGGTCTTCTTACATACGTCATGATCCATGCAACTATGCGATACATGCCCTATAGGGATCCAGTCGTACCTCCGAAGGTCTTTGAACCCTCCTGGCACCCAGCCCAGTCCAGCTCAGTCCCATCTTCTCAGGTACCGAGTACGACTGGGTCCCTAGGGATGGAGTGTGGTGCTTCGTCCAGGCCACTGAAGGGTCGTGCCTTCTCCACCCCAGCCTGTGCTGCTCGGACCTTGGCGGCGGCCACCAGGCGCATGGCATCCGTCAGCTTCCCCGTCTTCCCCACCTTGGCGGTCTCCCGCTCAGTGTGTGGCTACCGGGGTGTAAACAGAGTCCGAACAAACCCTCTAATGGGGTCTCCTGGTATGCATCACCCAAAAGAAAAATCCATGCCGTTCGCGAAAAGATCCACATCAGTAACCAGGCCACCGAGGTCCAGCGGTCCTTCAATCGCTTGTCGCCCGGAAAACGGCACACCTTCGACTGGTCACGCGAGCTAAGCTGTCGCGTGGGTGTTGAACGTGGAGAGCCGACGAAGGCGGTCTGGAGCACGTTGAGCACCGCGACGACCGCCACGGCCAAGGCCAACATCAGGAGTCCACGTGCCATAGCGAGTCTGGATGACGTCCAAGTAGGCTGGTCCAAAAAAAAGAGACGTCCGTCGGGCTTCCGCGGAAATGGCTGCAGTGAAGCATCGGGAAAATCGGGAAGCACACATAAACTGACAAGTGACCATGTACCAACATGCACCGACCAAGTTTGTGGCTGGCAAATCACAAGAAGCGTCAACAAATCCAGCTCAAAGATTATGAAAGAAAAGAACAAGTCATGGAATTCAATGATCTGAAAGTTAAAGTTCAACCGGCTTTAATGACCAAAAAGAGTAATACTATACAATACTCTAACTCTATACATATGATTCAGTTTGTTAAACACTCCAGCAAACTGTGCATCATTAGATCAAAGGGGTGTTTCTTGGACCTCAATGGGGCATGTATTCCAAGGCCCATGAGTCGTGTCTGAGGACCATCCATTCCGAAGACGGTACGGTCCTCGCAGCCGCCGTTGATGTGAGGCCGAGCAAGCCAGTGGCCTGGAGGTCGGTAGGGAAAGGCAGGTGAGAGATGGTGGAATCTCAGAACGATTTTGTATCCGAAACAACAAAGAAACAACAAACAAACAAACAAACAAACAAACAAACAAACAAACAAACAAAC